GCCGTCACACAGCTGTGCATCGGCGCCGGAGCCCTGTCAGCCGCGGCGGTGCGAGTACGCATGCGCGGGAGCGTGCAAGTGCGCGCATGTGCACTAACATACACACCACTGAAAGGCAGGCTATTTAAACCACCATCACAGTTTAGCCTTAGCCTTCTGGTCTATAATGTTCTGCACATCATAACCTGATTCTGTTGCCTATATCTGATCTGACCCTGACTAAGAAAGAACTCCACCTGCACCGACCCAGCTTATCCCTGATTATCCACTTGCCTGCTCCCTTGTACCTGATCCGCTCGATTGATCCTGACCCAGCTTGTCTGACACTGCTGCACATACTTACCTGCTGCTGAACCTACATTCCTGCACCTGGCCTGCACCCTGGTTACCACCATATCTGCCTGCTGCCACACCTACGCTCCTGTGTCCGCACCTGGTCTGCATCCTGGTTGCTGCCATACCTGCCTGCTGCTGCACCCACGTTCCTGCATCCGCACCTGGTCTGCATCTTCTGGGTCCTCACCTGCCTACCATCATCTCCAGACCCACCCGGCACTAATGCCACTCCTGACATCTGTCCCCACTATCAGGGGCTCCGAGCGGGAGTAGTAACATGACGCCTCCTTTCCACATCAGGCTCCCTACCTACATGACAGGATGGAGCTGAAATTTTGAGTTGCCAAGAAGCCTGAAGGACTTAGAGAAGATTTGTAAAGAAGAGTGGACCAAAATTCCTCCTGAGATGTTTGCAAACCTGGTAACCAACTACAAGACATGTCCTACCTCTTTGCTTGCCAACAAGGGCTTCACCACCAAGTACTAAGTCATGTTTTGCTTCGGGATCAAATACTTATTTTACTCACTGAATTGCATCTCCGTTTATAACATTTGTATCATGTATTTTTTTCTGAATGTGTGGTTGATATTCTGTCTCTATCATTTAAAATACACTTATGATAAAAATCATAGACCCTTCATTTCTTTGTAAGTGGGCAAACTTACAAAATCTGCAGGGGATAAAATTATTTTTCCTACTGTACTTGGCACAGTATATATATTACATTCATATAATCAAGATAATGCATCTCCTGTCATACTACATATTTGCTAAGTGAACTTTATTGTATAATTTTACAGGATCTGAGTACAAGCCCGATCCCTAACCAACAAGTTCCCTCTATTGTTGCTCTGTTAAATAACACCGTAAGCCAGAATCCAGAGATAACTAGTTCACCTAACAACATTCAGCTTGTGATCAACATATTACAGCAGGTTGGAAGTGTTGTTACATCAGTGCCAACAACGGTTATGCAGGTAAGCAGGGAATATTTATGAGGTTTGCTGCCTAGACATTCTGCCTAACCTGTCTACTGTATGTAATCTGATTATATCTGTCTATCTATTCATCTTACTCTAGGACAGTGGTCTCCAAATATCAGCTCGCGGGGACTTATTTGGCCCTTTGCTTGCTTACCCAGCCCTTGGGGCACTATTTCATCCACTGATACCAGCAATGGGGAATAATTCCCCCCACTGAAAGAAATAGAGGGGCACAATTCCTCTCAATGACACCAATGATGGGGGCACAATACCTTCCAATAACACCAATGAAGGGGCACAATTCCTCCCTTTTGATACCAAAGATGGGTCATCGTTTTTTCTCACTGATGCCAGCACCTTTTCTACTCCCAGTGGCCACAGTCCAGCCCCCCTAAAAGTCTGAAGGTCAATAAACTGGCTCTTTGTTTAGAAAGTTTGGAGACCCCTGCTCTAAGAGTTCGCAAACACACCTAAATATACAGTATATACATATACAGTGTGTGTGTGTGTATATATATATATATATATATATATATATATATAATATTATCTATTAAAGTGACTGTAAGGAAATATGTTTAATTAACTGGCATCCATTTTGTATAATGCCTCCATTTCTAGATGTGTGAACAGTTAGTTTCGCTTGTAAATTCTCTCGTTTTCTGAGAGCAGTTTCTATTTCACTGTAAACGGAACCACCTTATATGGTATCTCTCAGCTATTTGCTGTTTCTGTTCTTCACATAACTATATTGATAAGAATGGAATGTTTCATTGGCCATCCTGAGATTAGGCAACGCCTGCTGAGTTCTGTATAACAGTTCTTGTCATGCATTAAACTTTCAGAGATTTAGCTTGCACACTATGGTGTCCGGAGCTTTATTTCACCCAGGCCTGGTGGGAAAATAATTGAGGACATTATGGGCTACAGACATAGGCTACTTCCTATCAGTGACTCAACAACATTTCAACATTTTACAAATCATTATACATACCGTTTTATGTGAAGGTACAGAGAGAAGCCAAGAGTCTATTTTTTTTTTCTTTTTTAGCGTTTTGATAGATTCAATCCTTACTCAAGTACAGGGGCCAATTTTTCATTTTTTTTTCTAATGATGCAAACTGTGAGTAAAACAATTAACAACTGATGGGATTTGGAGACAGTAGACATGTAGGGTATATGTCAATCTAATGGCATAAACATCTTCCTAGAGCAGATATCTGCAATGACAAGGTTTATAGACTGTAGTTTTGTCACAAGGTTTCCGATTACTAATGGCAGAAAAAAAAACAAATTAGGAAATTATTTAAAAAAATGTCCAGAATCTCGCATTTCTTATTTCACACATGCGCCATTGCCAATAATTAGATGATAACTCTCTGATGAGAACCTGGCTTATGATCTAATGTATCAGGAGATGGTCAAATACGCATGAGTAAACTCCCAATAAGCTCCAGTATGATGACAGATTTATATTGTTTTCAATGTTCTACGCCAGCCTTTCTCAACCAGGGTTCCATGGAACTTTTGGGTTCCTCCAAAGAATTCTAGGAGTTCCTTGAGCAACAAGCAATATGCCTTAACAAAATTAGCAATTGCCTCCATTTTCCCTGTCCAAAGACATCATTGATATACCTGTACCAGGTAAGAATCCTGGAGAGGTACATTTACAAGGTCACATCCCTGAACAGGTGCCTTTCCTATGCTCCCAAATATAAATTTGTATAAGCCAGAGCACATTTTTTGCCGATTACCGTACCTTGGGCTTGGCAATAGCTGCCATTATTAAACATAAATTTGTTACTAGTCCGGATAAACTTCTGCAAATCCACTACAAAACTAGTGTGTTTATGTTTCATCCATACATCTAGTAGTTAAAACTTTTTTCATCACTGTCAGGTCTAAATTATGAGGAATCAAGGAATGTAAAACCTCAATATCATATGTCATCAGTATTGCTCCCTCTGGTACAGTAATATTGTATAGTAATGTTGGCATATGATGGTTAGGATGTCACAAATAGTTTTAAGATTTTATTGATATACTCATTCACTTTCTCAGTCAATCCTGCTGATCCTTTGCCTCTCATGCAAGCTGTAATCCCTCCCTCCTTGACTGTTTTTTTTATTCACTCCCCTTATGTATGATATCACTCCCATGTGGAAATACAGAAACCACTGGTGACACTTCTTTATTACCTTCTTCCAACACCCCATTTTTCCTCTTTAGTGCCCCCCCTGTGCCCTATTTGCCTTTCCTTTGTGATACCACTTCTCTGAATAAATGTGTTCCCTCCACTTTCCTCTTCACTTTCAGATGAACTGCTCTCTGGTGTGGAGTGTCTTCCCATATTATGTTGTTTTGTATTCTAGAGTTTGTGATATCACTTCCTCCTCCTTCCTACACAATTCTTCACAAAGAGTTCACCATCTACTAATTCAGAATCTTTTAATTTAAATTTATCTATCAATTCTAAATCTTTCTGGTTTTATTTACAGGACTTCCTAAACTCTGTCAGCATCGTTGTGGATAACTCAACGACAACCACTTGGAGCCAGGTTCAGAATAAAACCACAGAAAGTTCGACTCTGTTAAATACAGTAGAATCATTTGCAAAGAAGCTGGAGTTCAGTGACACTGGAATTAATATAACTAAGAAAAACGTCCAGTTACTTGGCAGTATAGCAAGCAGCTTGCCAAATAATTATGATGCCAGTTTTAATTTCAATGATGTGAACAATTTAACGGGCAACATTGTAATTAACAAAACAATCCTGGACAATATTCCGAAGGATACAAAAATTGTGAGTGTTGCCTATGCTACTTTAAAAGATATCATAGGTGTCCCTCAAAACTCTACTTCCGATTTGACTGTGAATGGTCTTGTCATGACAACAGTTTTGTCACGCAGCCAATCTGAATTCAAGATTGGGATGGATTTTAAAATGAGTAATTCCTCACTGACAAATGCCAGCTGTGTATGGTGGAACTTCACAAAGCAAGATTGGGATAACACTGGCTGCCAACTACGTAGCCAGATAACCAGTGACATTGTTAAGTGTATTTGTGATCATTTGACATCCTTTTCTATTCTCATGTCAACAAGTGAACTATCACCAGAAGCTGAGATAGTATTATCCTTTATTACATACATTGGTATGGGCATCTCCATGCTCAGCTTAGTGGTCTGTATCATAATTGAAGCCATGATCTGGAAGTCTGTCACCAAGAACAAGACCTCCTACCTTCGCCATGTCTGTATCATGAACATTGCAGTCACACTTTTATTGGCTGATATCTGGTTTATCATTGGTGCATCTATGAATACAACAGATAAAATTCAAGCCTGTATAGCAGCAACGTTTTTTGCACATCTCTTTTATCTTTGTGTCTTCTTCTGGATGTTAACAATGGGATTGATACTATTCTACCGTCTAATGTGTGTCTTCCATGATCTGAGCAAGACAATCATGATGGGAATTTCATTCTTCCTGGGATACGGATGCCCTGTTATTATTGCAGTGATCACTGTTGCAGTCACTCAGCCTTCCAACACCTACCTGTATCCCAAAAAATGTTGGCTGAGTATTACAGAAAGCAAAGCATTCCTTGCATTTGCATTACCAGCTTTAACCATCTTATTAGTGAATTTTATCACCTTGCTGGTGGTAATTATTAAAGTTCTCAGACCTTCAGTAGGGGATAAACCTAAGAAAGAGGAAAAGAGCACCTTAAACCATATCACAAAATGTATACTCATCCTAACACCTCTACTCGGCCTGACCTGGGCCTTTGGCATCGGGACAATGGCAAGCACGTCTATTGCCATCCATGGAATTTTTGCAGCATTGAATTCACTTCAGGTAAGTGATATGCTTCTAGAAAAGGTCCTTGTAGTCTTTGCTGAAATTTCATATAGTTAACTTCCAATTTTAACTATGATATGATTGATAGAAAAAATTTACTTGAAGAAAAAAAATTTACCTTTACGAAAACCCACTTTCCAATAACTGCAAGTCCTCTTTCTTAGGCCATTCTTAGCAACCAGTCAGTGGATGGCCATTCCTCTCCTTTTATTAAGGCCAATTCACACATATGAATGGCACTAACCTACACATTTTTGTCCATTGATGCATTACATTAGGACCGCTCATCCATTTTGAATGGGCTCTTAATGGGCTTTAACACATGGAAAATTGCAATTGGACAAGGGGCGGACTGACCATTTGGGAACTTAGGCACTGCCCGAGGGCCCGGGGTCAGTAGGGGGCCCCATGAGATACCCCTGGTACCTTTTCATAGGCTTTTTTGGTGTGGTTTAAGTGTGGGTGAGGACACAGGTGCCCCATGACAGGTGCCCCAGATGTCTTTGCTTTTACTGTATATGTGCATTAGGGCGCCATTCAAAATAAATGGCAACACATATGTTTTCTGCTAATACGTGGAGTTTTTGGCACTAGGGTTATTAAAGGAGCTTCCCCAACCTTCAGAGGCATTAAAGCTTTGTTAAACCTTTTTATTTTATTAGTGAATGTAATCACACTAGCCTAAAAGCAAACAATATAATGGGAGTTTCCTTCTTAAATTGGTCATAGATTACGCAATTTTTCCTTTTAACCATGGTTTGAAGATAAGAAAATTGCTCAGTTCCCCATCAACACAGTCAGTGTTGATGATGGAATCCCTCTTGCTGCGCTATTGTATTCTGACAGTGAGTGGTTTCTCAAAATCATTGAAAGATGTCAAAATACACTTACTGCTATAACCAGTGGCATTAATCCATACAAAAAAACAGACAGGTTAATTGTACTGAAATTGATCGATAGATTGACTTCAGTACAACCAGTCTGCCCATAAATGGATTGAAATTCGGACGGTTCCTGTTGAAAAGGCCGAATTTTGATCTGTTTTTAGCCAGCTATAATGTGTTAATGCTTAGGCACTATATCAAACTGCCCTGTCTGGATCTCCACTGGACTTCCTCTACTGCTGACAACGGTTTTAACAGACAGGAAATGACAAAAAATTTGCAACAGGGTCACAGACAAAAATAAAAATCTGCAAGGAGACCTAGTCTTTCTACTGAGAAAAAAAAAGTATTTTTGTTGAAATGGCAAAACTTTGGCAAAAATGTTGCTAAATGAAGGCTCTCCATATAGCTCATCTCTAGTCTTGAAGTGCATTTATCAAATAGGGAGTTGCCTTTGGCGTAAAATAGTGCTCTACAAAGGAGGAGACACAATGAACACCCATTAATGTGGTTGGTTTTGGTGTGACCACAGGATAGTGTTGGAAAGACAACGTCTTTAAGACTTAGCCAAGCTAGTTAAAAGGCAGGCCATTATGCTGAATGGAGAGCATGCAGCTTTTGCATTACATGCATGCAGGAAAGGGCTGATATTCTAACTAAGGTCAATAGGGCAAAGCAATTCTGCTGGAAAGGGCCGATTTAATTTGCCAATTCCACCTTACCTTACCTTTATATCTGCTAGCCATTTTTTTTCAACACGACAGGCTCTCTTTAAAGCATTAAATGCTGATACAGTTGCAAGAAAAAGTATGTAAACCCCTTGAGATTATGTGGAGTTTTGCATGAAGTGGGCATAAAATGTGCTCTGAACGTCATCTAAGTCACAACAATAGAAGAACACAGTCTGCTGAACATAATACTACACAAACATTAGATGTTGCCATGGTATAATTGCACATAGCATGTAAACATTCACAGTGCATGGAGGAAAAAGTATGTGAACTTTTGGACTTAATAACTGATTGACCCTCCTTTGGCAGCAATAACCTCAACCAAACGTTTCCTGTAGTTGCAGATCAGACCTGCACAACAATCTGGAGTAATTTTGGACCACTCCTCTTCACAAAACTGTTTCAGTGTAGCAATATTCTTGGGATGTCTGGTGTGAATCGCTCTCTTAAGGTCATGCCACAGCATTTCAATCGGGTTGAGGTCAGGACTCTGACTGGGCCACTCCAGAAGGCGTATTCTGTGCTGTTGCAGCCATTGTTTTGTTGAATTACTTGTATGCTTTGGGTCATTGTCCTGTTGCATCACCCATCCTCTGCGGAGCTTCAGTTGGTGGACAGATGGTCGTACGTTTTCCTGCAAAATGTCTTGATAAACTCTGGAATTCATTTTCCCATCAATGACATCAATCCGTCCAGGCCCTGAGGCAGCAAAGCAGCCCCAAACCATGATGCTCCCTCCGCCATGTTTTACAGTGGGGATGAGGTTTTGATGTTGGTGTGCTGTGCCTTTTTTTCTCCACACATAGTGTTGTTTGTTCTTCCCAAACAACTCAATCTTGGTTTCATCTGTCCACAGTATATTTTGCCAGTAGTGCTGTGGAACATCCAGGTGCTCTTTTGCAAACTTCAAACGTGCTGCAATATTCTTTTTGGACAGCAATGGTTTCCTCCGTGGTGTCCTCCCAAGTACTCCATTCTTGTTTAATGTTTTCCTTATTGTAGATGTGTCAACAAAAATGTTAGCATGTGCCAGAGATTTCTGTAGGTCTTTAGCTGACACGCTGGGATTCTTCTTTACCTCATGCAGCATTCTGCGCTGTGCTCTTACAGGACGACCACGCCTAGGGAGAGTAGCAACAGTGCTAAACTTTCTCCATTTGTAGACAGTCTGTCTTACCGTGGACACATGAACATCAAGGCTTTTGGAGATACTTTTGTAACCCTTTCCAGCTTCATGCAAGTCAACAATTCTTGATGGTAGGTCTTCTGAGAGCTCTTTTCTGCGAGGCATGGTTCACATCAGACAGTGCTTCTTGAAACCAGTAAACCCAAAACAGGTGTGTGTTTTTTAAGGGCAAGACAGCTGTCAGAAACACATCCAATATCATCACACTGATTGGAGCAAGGTTGGCTCACTCCTGGCTCCAATTAGCTCTGGGAGAAGTCATTAAGCTAGGGCCTCACATACTTTTTCCTCCCTGCACTGTGAATGTTTACATGTTATGTGCAATTAAACCATGGCAACATTTATTGTTTGTGTAGTATTATGTTCAGCAGACTGTGTTCTTCTATTGTTGTGACTTAGATGACGTTCAGAGCACATTTTATGCCCAATTCATGCAAAACACCTCGTAATCCCAAAGGGGTTCACATACTTTTTCTTGCAACTGTATATATTTTTTTATCTCGTGCTTTCAAGGGTAGAGTAGAGACCCCAGATGTCTCCATAAAGAGGACCTGTCATGCTTTATTGAAAAATCCTTAAAGAATTATAAAAAACGGTGTAAAAAAAATAGTTTTTTTTAATTTTTTGGCTTTTTAATTAAATGAATAATGAATAAAAAAATGTTTTAAAGCACTCCCACTCCCTGTGCTCATGCGCGCAGAGGTGAATGCATATGCAGGTCTTGCACGTTTATGTAAAGAATGTTCGCACCACACAAGTGAGGTATTGCTGCGAACGTTATAGCAAGAGCAATAATTCTAGATCTTCTTTGTAACTAAACTGGTAGTCTGTAAAAAATTTTAAAGCATCGCCTGTGGAGATTTTGAAGTATCGTAGTTTGTTGCCATTCCACAAGTGTGCACAATTTGAAAATGTAATATGTTAGGTATCTATTTACTCACTGTAACATTTATCTTTTATATTTTACAAAAAATTGGGTTGTATATTGTGTTTTTTTGCGATAAAATTCATTAAAGTGTATATTTATAAAAACAAAACTGCATTTGAAAAACCAATGCATAAATATCGTGTGACATAACAAATTGCAGTGACCACCATTTTATTCTCTAAGGCCTCTGCTAAAAAATTATATATAATGTTTGGGGGTTCTAAGTAATTTTCTAGCAAAAAATACTGATTTTTACTCAACAAAAAGTGTCAGAAAAGGCTTGGTCGAACAAAATTGTACTGCAGTGTGTAATAGTTTTGTTTCTTGTTTCAGGGCTTATTTATTTTGCTGTTTGGATGTTTGATGGATAAAAAGGTAAGCTCTTAGAATACCATGTGGCTATTTTTTTGACCAGAGCAGTATAATGCTCAGGAAGAACTCATGTTTGATTTGCTCTGCTAAATTCCAGGTACGGGATGCCTTGTTGAGCAGGTTTTCCATTTCCAGATGGTCTTCACAGCAGACAAAGGTAGGCAGTCATGTCTGTTACAGTTTCATTTAGTATGGCCATTTGTTTACTGTCCTATAACTTGAAAACTTTAACCCTTCCAAAATCGCAGACAATGTAACTTCTGCGGTGATTACCTGGAACTGAAATGTTTGGCTTCTGCCCGTTACTACCAGACCAAAGCTGTCAAGTGGCACCATGATCATGAATGTGAGCCAGGTTATGATGTGCCACACAATCCACATATTCTATTTTTCAATATGTGGTATAGATTCAATGAGCCATATTTATAGGAGTGCTGGGAAAAAGTGTAGTTCATGTCATGCTAAACAACCAATCAGATTCTCCCTTTCATGTTTCCAGTGCAGTATGGGATAGGAAAAGTGAGTATTGGATTGGTTTCTGTAAACAAGCTGTTTCTAGTTCTAACCATTTTTCTTTATACCATCCATGTTGTAACTGTGTGTATGTGATATATTAATTTTATGTCCTTTTTTTTTTTACAGACTTCCAATCTTAGTTCTACAGATCCTGTTCTTGCAAAAAGGGGTATCAATTTGTTTGCTAAAAAGGGTAAGTACCCAAAACTGAGTAAGAGAAAACTAAAGCACCAAGGTCCCCTCAAATCTCTACTGTCTCCAGTAGGGCATAGTGAAGTCTATGGTGGACTTGCCTGTGTTTTTATGTTCCCTTGTTGTAAAGAAGATTGCTCTCTAGTCCTTGTTAAAATGATTTTTAAAGTGTATTTGCGCACCCCGCTAGCATGCACAAACACTGTCCTGGGAGCGTCCTGTCCATTGAATAGTGCAGTACACAAAAAGATGGTACAGAGCCAATGAGACGCTCTCTGTTCCACAAGATTGCTTGGGAAAAAAAACGCATTACACAATATAAGCAATATGTCATTCAGCACAGTGTCATCTGCCTATTTACTGTCATTCACCCCTCTACAGTATATATCTCTCCATTCTATCTGTGATCTGACCTGTATGTTGAACCCATTACCTCTTATCCTGCATATCTGTACTTTACTGTGGCTAAAGATTAACCACTTCAAGCCCAGAAACTTTCAACCCCTTCCAGCCCAGGCCAATTTTCAGCTTTCACTGTTATCACACTTTGAATTACAATTGCGCGGTCATGCAACACTGTACCCATATGAATTTTTTAGCATTGACAGATAAAACTTTATTTTGGTGGTATTTATTCACCATTGGAATTTTTATTTTTTTGCTCTATATAAAAAAAAGTCCACAAATTTTGAAAAAAAGTGTTTTTCTGATAACATTTTGCAAATAAATAATCTTTCTTCATAAATATTGGCCTAAATGTATTAATCTATCTTTTTAATAAAAAAAAAACAAAACCCAAGATAGTTTATAACCAAAAATTATAATTTTTCTAAAACATTTTTTAAAAAATTTTTTTTATATTATTTTTTTTTTTTTAATTTTTTTAACATATTATCACCCTAGCAGTACAGTGTCACCATAATGACACTGTACTGCTTGTGGGGGGTGATGAAGATTTTTTTTTTTTCATTTTTTACACTGATTGCTTTTACACCCGTAAAGGCTGTAAAAGCAACATTTCTCCTTCTCTCTAGCTGCATTCCTGCATCTATTGAGAAATACTGAGTGAGCTGTGATTGGTCACAGCTTGTCACATGGTACAAGATTGTTGTGAATAGCCTTGTACCATGTGACCTCTGTGATCATTCACAGATTTCACAAGTAGTAAGCAATGATGTCAGGAAGTGACATCTTGTTTACTACTATTCCTGTGATCACTGATTGGGCAATCAGTGATCACATGAATCGAGACCTCACACAGAGTTCCCGTACAGCAATCTGTTTTACGTGTCCTCCGGACACAGTGTCCTCCCAGGGAGCGCGCACAGGCAATGGATGAGGGGGGGACGTTTAGAAATGTCCACCCACATCGGCAGCGCTCCCGTCCAGCCATTGTCAACATGGGCCGAACGGGAAGAGGTTAAAGGTTAATGATTTTTTACCTTAATGCATTCCCTGCATTAAAACCTTCTGTGAGTAGCTCCCCTCAGCACCCCCTTATACTTACCTGAGCCTGATCTTGATCCAGTGCTGTGCCCGAGAGCAGTGGCTCTCTCTGCTCTCTCCCTCCTCATAAGCTCAGGGACAGCAGTGGGAGCAATAGGCTTCTGCTGCTGTCAATCACAGCCAGTGAGCAAAGAGCAGGAGGTGGGGCGGAGACGTGCTCAGTGTGTCAATGGACACACAGAACATGGCTCAGGATCGAGCCCTCACAAATGGCCCCCATAGCATGCAGCTTGCTGTAGTGAGCACTCTGCAGGGGAGAGAGCCAGGAGTGCTGGCGTCGGACCCCAGAAGAGGAGGATCGGGGGCTGTTTTGTGCAAAACCATTGCACAATGCAGATAAGTACAACAACTTTTACGATAACTTTTACTTATGGCCATTTACATTTACTTTAACCCTTTCATCTCTATCCTGCCATGGTATGTGACCTGCACATTAACCCCTTCACCACTACCTCCTTCTGTGTATGACCTGTACATTAATATAACTAGTGCACCATTATGAAGCTCAGTGTTTTAACCCCCTCAGTACCAGCATGTTTCTTAATTTACAAAAAAATTGTGGTCAACATTGAGATGTACTATCCAAAAGTGATCACTTCAAGGGGTGTTTGTACTGTCCTGACAAGCTTTCTCAATAAAAGATATAAAATTCATATTGGTACAGCGTTGCATGATACATTGAGCAATTGTCAGTCAAACTATCGCATCACTCAAAACTGAAAAAATTACCAGGATAGGAAGGGAGTGTAATATACCAGTCCTCAAGTGGTTAAAATAAATTTCCCAAAATTGTCAGTGCACTTTTCAGGACAGGGTCATTGAGACTGGTGATGAGATCTAAATGTTGGATTATTTTTCCTCTTTTGTAATTATTTTTTTAGGCTGGAGTTACAGGCCTTGCAGATGTCCTAACCACATTATAAAACACTGGGCTAATACAACTGGATCAGGGAACAACCTATGTCTGTAGGTATTCCCTGACTATGGGCAGTATCCACCAATCAAACCTACTTAGGGCCTATTCACATGTGTAGCCATGCTCAGATCACTGTTTTGAATTGTTTCACAGGTGGTGAGGAGGAGATGTGTCAGGAACACGCAAACAAATACACGAAAAGCACAGATAAACAACATGAGAAGCTTAAAAATGTGCTTCTATGCTGCATTTGTGGCACATATGGCAGCCTATTGAAAGAACGAGCTGTCCTAAGTGCAAAGCGACGTGCAAAATGTGCGCATACGCATAGCACCCAACGTCACTCTAAGCCAGTATGAATAGGCGTTGAATAGACACAGCCGGCTAGCTAAAGCAGAAATCTGCAAACAGGGAGGTGCGGGGAGTGTTTTGAGGACCGGCCGAACAACAAGAAAAGGCATATTTTCCAGGAAGAAGACTAAAAATATGTCAGTCTGAACATCCTCAAATAAAACTGATCATTCTAGCATTGTTGATATCCTGTGTCCTCCCACTGCAGTTAGTGGTTCTTCTCTCCAGTGCCAGGACAAAGTCATCCAGGCAGAACCCCCCACAGCCACGCTGTCACACTGGGGGGGGGCTGAAGAGGAGAGGGGGGGCAACTAGAACATGTTACACCTTGCATGCTCATAACATGTTCTCTAAAAGGCCAACTTATCCTTTAAGTTGGTACACATGCAAGCCGCTGATTGATTGAAGGTTTTCCAGCAGTCCCGTTCAACAAAAGCTGATTTAATGATTTTCTTCTGTTTAACAGGGGGGGCTGAACACAGATCGAAATTCAGGCAGTCCCTTCTGAACGATACAAATCGCAATCTTTATATATATATATATATATATATATATATATATATATATATATATTATATATTATACCTTGCTCCAGTAGGCTCCCTACAGTGCTGTCACTTGTCCCCCTCAGCTTCAGTGTAAGTTGTGGCTGGCTGTAGTCACACTCCAGCCTCCTCTTCATACCATACAGAAGGGGTTGGCAACCTTAAAAAGGTGGAGATCTACCTGAACCACATGGGAGAAGTCAAAGATCACCGGGGAAAAGTACCGCCTCCTCACACCTGATTTAAACCTCTAATTGCTCTTCTACCGTGTCGCAACTGCGTGCATTGCACGGCAATCGTGGGTTTTAAATCAGGTGGCGAGGAGGCAACATACTGTATCACCTCCTCACCACTTGTCAAACACACTGGTATAGCTTTTCAGAAGAGCAGCAGTGCCTGCTGCACTTGTGAGTATCAGCGACAGCGGCACCCTTCGGGCTCGTTAACCCTGCAGTTGAGTTGCGGTTTTACCACCACCAATCCCCCTTTAGGCAAAGGTGTACACATGCCACAGTAGGCATTAACCCCTGTTGCTCATGGTGGGTGCTACCACCTGCCAATCGTTACCCATTCAGATAAATGGGGCCACTCTGCAAGCACCTCACAATTGCATGCTTCTGCAGGATCCAAAGGCTTAAAGTAGGTGGTGAGAAAGCAACAAAACTGCCTTCTTTAACTCCTTGCTTGCTGTGCTGCACACAGTTGCAGGGCACATGCAGAGCAGCCTCATTCACTTCACTATTCTGCCCAGTGTATTGCTTCACACTGACCTGAAGATCTCTTCTATCCTGCCGTTGGCACCACTCTGGAGACCACTGTAGCCAGGAGAAGAGGTAGAGTGCAGTTGGTATCACTCCACATGGGACAGAAGCCAGCCCTACAGAGGAGGCATCAGCTAATGCGGCTCTTGCTCCCTACTACAGCTCCAACTTTACAAGTAGTCCCTCTGTTTGAAGCTCTGGGGTGGGTCAGCAAGGCCAGACTGCGATCTATCACCTGGCCGTAATCTACTGGTAGATCACGATCTACAGGTAGCTGACCCCCCGCCATACAGGGTTAATGTTCTTGATGGTACAGTATATAACAATATTAAAGCTTTGGTTTGAGAAAGAGAGCGCTGAAATTTGCTGGAGCATGGAATCAGGTAAGTGAAAGAGGCTATTCCTCCCTCCCCAACACATACTGCAAGGGTGGACCTTTTTGTTGGGCTGTATTATGGCACCACATTCCTTACTGTTTTTGCTCATATTTTTTAATAGGTTAGGAATTACTGGAACGTTAATAAAAAACTGGTGCACACAGAATCCGGAGCAGCTCTGCATAGAAACCAATCAGCTTCCATGTTTTATTGTCAAAGCTTAATTGAACAAGCTGATTGGTTCCTATGCACAGCTGTGCCAGATTCAGAGTGCTCCAGCTTTAGTAAATCTGGAAGGCAGAGCAGGTTGGGACTCAAAGGTGGAGAAGAGTGCAGTCTGTTGTCCATCCTGGGATATCTTCATTCTGCCCTGGGGAGAGCTCTGGGGAGTCAGCAGTGATGTGGCTGCACTGTAATGTTCCCTTATTGCTCCGCCTGCCTGTACTAGAGCTCTTACTGTGAAAACCCCGATTCAGTAAGCCACACTAATAGAAACCCAAGGAGAGAGCCAGGGAAAGCATGCTTTCCCATTTTAAAAAGTTGGAGGCCGGTA